TTGAGAATTCTTTGCTGATTTCCCTGGTTGACAGTACTCACTCCCTCCTCAAATCATCAAGTATATACTTATCTGTTTATATATTAGAATGGAAGTTCCTTGTGGTAGGGGATTGTTTTGGTTTGGTTCTGTATCTCTATCATCCATAGTGTAGCATCTTTTATGTGGTATGCAAATTATAAATTCTGGATAATTGGATCCAATAGCGGGTTTTTGTCATCATATATTTTCTCATCTTCGTGAGTTCAAATTTAGCCTCAGATACTTACTAGGTTGTGACCCTGGGCAAGTCACTTAACCGTGTTTGCCTCAGTTTCCTCATCTGTAAAAAGAACTGGAGAAAGAAATGGCAAACCACTCCAGTATCTTTGCCAAGAAAAATCCAAATGGAGTAACAGAGAATTGGACATGACTGAAAAATGACTTAACAACAACAAATTTTCTCATAGTACAAATACTATATATTATGTGGAGGTCTACAATGTTTTTACGTTAAAAAGGGGTCTTTATACAAAAAACCCTGTGAACTATTATATAGGAGATATACTAACAAGTTTAGCCCCTATCTGTGTTCAGTGATGTTATAATTTAAATATCCTTGAAGAGACAGAGAAGGGAAAAAGGATAGTAATGGAGTAAAGAAACAATCCCAGGAATGATGGAGGCCAGCAGACACAGCCAAAACCCAATTCAAACCAGCCTGAGGTTTCCCTGTTCTTTCTGTAAGAAAGTCTTCACTCTGGAGTAAATGGAGCAGTATCCATCTCCTCCCCTAACCTCTGCTACTGCCCAGATCTATTTGACTTCAAGAGTGTTTTTTACCAACTGTCTCTGAAGGACCACAGAACCATGGCTCTTAAAGGCCCTTGTTTTTTGAAAGCTATAATCTTAAAAACATACACACACACACACACACACACACACACACACACACACACACACAAAACTGAACATCTCCTTTTCCTTATTCTCTTTGAATTCTGCTCCTCTTACCCTCATTTGGTCTCCCAGTCTGTACCCCCTGAATCACTGAGAATATAGCCTCTTCCTCACCTGCAACTCAGACAATAGAAGATATGGAGTCCATAGTAAGGCATCTCAATATTTCACTGGTACAGAGTACTCAAATTCCTGAGTTCAAATCCAGCCTCAGACACTTACTAGCTGTGTGACACTGGACAAGTCACTTAACCCTGTTTGCCTCAGTTTACTCATCTATAAAATGAGCTGGAGAAGGAAATGGCAAACTACTCCACTATCTTTGCCAATTCTCCAAGAAAACCCCAAATGGGGTCAGAGTCAGATACAACCGAAACAACTGAACAACAACATTTAGTAAGCGCTTACTCTGTGCTAAGTTTTAGAGATACAATGAAAAGCAAACCCACAATGCAAATTGCATATAAATGTATATACTATGCCTAGAGATATTCGTTAATGATGGCATGAAACCATTACAATTACCCAGACATTTAAAAACTAAGCTTTTGTTGCTGAAAGCAATGTTGCTTAAAATCCTTATGTTGCACACAATCATGGAAATAGAATGTTCTAACCTGCTTAAAAAAAAATCTTCCCCAAGAGACATTGCAGTAGGTTTTGAACCCTTTTGTTTAACAATACAAAAATGCAGCATCTTCTCATTAGTTTGCAAGAAGAATCCTTTGATATCAGGGAAGATGAGAATTTACTAGCCAAATTTCAACCCAAGCCTTTGCATAATTGGTGGTTGTGTCTGGAAAATACCTATCATGATTTACTAAGCACAGCCAGTGATATACTTCTTCCATATGGATCTCTATGTATCTTTTTCATCAACAACAGCCATTAAGACCAAATACTGAAATGAACTGAACTTAGAATCAGGTCTTCAAGGTTCTGTATCCCAAAGAGACAAATCAAGATTTAAAAAAATAATGATAAAGCTTATTCAATCATATTGCTTTCACTAAAAATTACAAGCTTAGTGAAATCAAAAAGGGTTTTGTAGCATTAGTATATAATTATCTTGAAATATGATTTATTTCATCTTCATCAATATCATATGTACGTATTTTTTACAATAAGTAAATATATGAACATTAGGAGTGCATGCTCAAAATAAATATACAAATATTAGATGGTACATCATGTGGTGTAGACCAGAGGTGTCAAGCACATGGCCCATCCTACCTGGCTGCTATGGAAACACTCCTCAGTGTGGCACAAAATAGATTAAAATGTAATTGGAAAATATCGAACAAAATAAATAAAAATCAAACAAAACATAGATAACATTGCATTTTAAAATTAAGTCAATATTTAACCTGCTGAGATCCTTATTATATTAAGGACATATTAAGGATTTAGTTGGCCCCTGTTTCTGTTTGAGTTTGACACCATTGGCACAGAGAATTGCATGTTGGACTTGGATTCAGAAAGACTTCAGTTCAAACCCCTTCCCTGACACTTGCCTGGACAGGTCACTTCATCTCTCTAAGCCTCAGTTTTCTCATTTGTAAAATGGGGATATTAATAGCACTCCTCTTGCAGGGCTGCTGTGAGGATAAAGTGAAATTATACATACATACACATATACACACACACATATAATATACATATACAATACATATGTAGTGCTACATAAATATTAGCAATTATTAATGGAAATTCATTTAATTAAAGGCTAATTTGTCTTCCATTGTTGTGCCATTAGGAATCAAATCTAACTGTAATCTTAGAAAAACTTTAATGACAACTCTGAGGATGGAAAAAGGAAGACATTATAATAAATACTTGAGTAGACACAAAACATCAGCCCCAGATTTTTAAAATGCAATGTTTGTTGACTTTATCTTTAGGCATCATGGACTTCATCTCTTCATTGGGCAGTTCTTATGTATAGATTAATTCTGGAAATGGTTTATTGGCTAAATGACTGTACTTTCAGCAACATCGATTCCCTGGAGTTTGGCAATGTTTTCACTCCCTTCTATTCTGACCTCAGCATTGGAGTCCAATATCAAGATTCAAAGGGGTCAATTAGATTGACTGCATGGTGGAACCTGCCCTAAGGATCTATTCTTTCCACTGAGGGAAAGAACCCTGAAAGGGTAATAGATTGAGCCCTGGACTTGGAGGCAGGATGGACATGAGTTCAAATGCCATTATTTGATACTTACTAGCTTGTGTGACCCTGGGTAAATTCCTCTGTTGCTTCTTGCAACTCCCCAGAATTTATCTATAATATCAGACTGGGTACTCCATCTACGTTGATAGAAGGAGATTCTATCCTAGGGAGTTCCTCAGTGTTAAGGAGACCACAGATCCTTTGGGCCTTCATGGGTGGAAGGCTTAAATCCTATCCTTTGCATTTCAATTCAACAGGTATTTATTAAATGCCTTCTGTATACCTAGAACTGCTCAGAAGTGAGAGAAGCCCCTTTCACTCTCAAAGGACTTGGATTCCAAGGGGTGCACAGGTGAGGACGTAGAACTCTTGACTATAACTGGAACTGTATGTGTCATCCTATGGGTCACATTTTAAAAGGGATATTGATGAATGGGTTAGACACAAAGGGACTATGGATGAACTGGTTCATATGCAAAGGAAGCTGAGCAAGGGGTCAGTACACTGGAAACTCTGCCATGTGACAGACACATGAAGAAACGAGGGTTTTTAAGTTAAAGAGAAGATCACAGCTTCATTGATTCATAGACTTAGCACTAAAAAGGACCTTAGAGGCCATCAAATCCAACTACCCCATTTTGCAGATGAGGAAACCAAATCACAGAGAGATTAAATGACTTGCCCAGAAAAAATAGGAAGGGGGGAAATAAGCATTTATTTAGCATCTACTGTGTGCTAGGCACCATGCTAAGTGCATCTATCTCCTAGGTTGTTGTGAGGATCAAATGAGATAATATTTGTAAAGTGCTTAGCCCAGTGCCTGGCACATAGCAGCTGCTATATAAATACTAGTTTTTATTATAAAATGAAATATTATTTCATTTAATTCTCACAACAACCTTGGAAAATAGATGCTATTTATTATCCCCATTATACAGATGAGGAAATTAAGGCAAGCACAGGTTTAGTTATTTGCTCAGGGTCACAAAGCTTGTAAACTTCTGAGGTTGATTTGAACTCAGATCTTCCTGGCTTCAGGCTCAATAGTCCGTCCACTGAGCTACCTCATTATCTTTTAAGCAACCAGATATGCTTCCAGCCCAACCCCTTCTCCCTTCCCCCACTCCCCAGCCATCATTGAGGGGAGAAGTCATTATGGAGAGGGGATCTTACTTTCTCATCACCACCAGTAACAATTGCTGTCCGATAGGGAGATAGGCACAAGAGCCCTGGGAGTGGCAGCACCCTCTATTTCCCAGAATACTGGGCCTGCTTCCAGGGTAGCTCTCATTACTGTCATCCAGGGAAGTGACTCCTATGGAGGAGAGACTGGCCATGCCTACCAACTGCTGATAACAGCTATCAACAGAGAAGGCAAGTCAAGCCAGCTAAAGCAGCAAGAGACTCTGAGAGATGAATAGAGATAGAGGGCAGCACTAGATAGAGATAGAAGTCAACCATCACTACCTTGACTACCATTTTCCTTCAGACTCTGATAGAGACAGCCCAGAACCATGAATCCAAGAACATTTGCAATAGCAATGTGTCTAGCCCAGTGTCAAATGGTCAACATGAGAAACTGATGTGGTTTTGTTAGTGTAAATGATATTAACGGAGAAGCATGAGCACCCACTTTGCTGCCATACCTTAAGGACCATGGGAGCTTTCCATCTGACCTGCAGCTAGAACCTTCCAGGTATATTGTTGTCCCCATTAGAATGAGAACTCCCGGAGAACAAGGGTTGTCTCTGCTTTTCTATTTACATTGCCCATGCTTTACACATAGTAAGCACTTAATAAGGGCTTTAGTCATCCATGCATCCATCCATCCATCCATCCATTAATAACAAACCTTCCCTCTTTCAAAGGTTGGCTGTTACCCTAGACTCACCAGAATCATTCCAGGTGTGACTGCATACTTCTGTACCAACAGTGGTGGATCTTCCTGTAGGGCACCATGGATATCATACCGAAGCAGGCGGTAAGGGTCGTGCTGACACTGCAAAGACACAGAAATGGCAGTTTGTTTATCCTCACTGGGGGAAGTGGGCCTCCTTGGAAGTACTGATAAATGAGAGTCCAACTCAGGCATAGAGAATAGGGCACTTTAGACACGAATTAGCTTCATAACCTTAGGCAAATCACTTAATCTTTTGTTGACTCAGTTCCCCCATCTGTAAAGTGAGATCCCAGAGTCTAGCTCTAACCTTCTGATCCTGCAATCATAAAACAGATACTTTGACATGAGGCATTCTAAGGGATTAGAAAATCCCAGTCATACTCTAAAACTGTCCCCTAGAAAAGACTTCTTCAGGAAAAATCACTTGGGACTTTTCTGAACCTGGCATTAGTTTAGGAAGATTAGATTTCCACCAGTTTCTCAAAAGGAGGAGACCTCATCTTCCTATACTTAAGAACACACGTGGCCTGATGGAAATCCCATCTTCCTACACTGAAGGCCACTTAAGGCTGCAGGTTCCCCACCCAGGGCTAGAACCTTCACTGAAGTTCTATACTGATGACTCATTGTGGCATGGAGATGAGCTCTCCAAGGTTATGCCAGGGGAAGCACAGCCTCTAGCAAGTCCTACCAACTCCAGGTCTGACTGGCAATGCATTGGATGTCTGCTGTCTAAGGACTGCCTAGCTAAGGTTGGGGCATGGGGGATGGTTATCATCAGAAGATTGGCCACCCACCAAGTGATGTCTTTTTGTTGGTCAGAGAAACTCAGGGAACCCCCTAGTAAGCTACAGTGAGGTTTGTAATTTGCAGTCATAGAGGGAGCTCCACCCATGAAGGGAAGGATATTTTGTCATGATAATAAGTATCATAGATATTTCATTACAAGCTGCACAAAATGGTCCTCAGTTTGGTATGGGTAGGTGTACGGGAGAGGATAAGAGAAGGGCTGGTATTCAGTCCGCCATTTGATAGCTTCCTATTTTAATTAGCTATTCTTGCTACTTCTCAAGGGATCTCTCTCACGATCCTATTACCAGAGATTTAGAGTTAAAAGGGATTTTAGGTATCATAGATTCTGACTTCTCCATTTTACACATAAGGAAACTGAGGCACTGAGCAATTAAGTGATTTGCTTAAGGTCACACACCTAGAACTAAGTACCTAAGCTCTGTTTTTGTTTTTTGTTTTTCTATGCTGTTGAAGGATCACAAGAGTTTTTGGTATCCTCCAAATCTGGCACACTTGGGCAAAACCCAACTGTCTTGCCCTAGTTAAAGCTTTGTTTCTGGGCCAATTTGCTTCCCTCTTCCTTCTCTTTACCCTGCCCCCACTCTATTTAGCTTTACTAACAACTCTCATTAGATTGTAAACTCTTTGAGGGCAGGGATTATTTTTAGCTTCTTTTTGTATCCTTAGTGCTTAGTGCGTAGAGCATAGTAGGCATTTAACAAATGTTTATCGAAAGGTACTAGTGGTTTCAAATTTTAGCACCTATGGGGAAGTGGGATTAAACAAAATAATGCACAAGGACAGAGAGTCACGAAGTATGAGGACTCTTTCAGGCCTATATGTAGTCACAAATATTTCTAGTCTCCTCCAGTGAAATGAAAATGGTTCCTGTTGGTTCTTAGCCCTTTGTAGTGACCCAGCTCTTGGCTCTTTTAGAGGCAAGCTTGATACAAGATTTGGAGGCAGAGGACCTGGGTCCACTCTGCCACTTTTCTGTATGACTTTGGGCATGTCACTTAAACTCTCTAGTCCTCAATTTTCCTGATTTGTAAAATGACTGGGTTGGACCAGTTGTCCTAAATCTAGGTCCTATAATCCCATGAAAAACTCCTGGAAGGACTGAAAGTATAACTAAAGAATCCTACCAACTGACATTTCCATAGGCTTTGTAGTTTAAGAGTACCTTACATACATGATCTCATCTGAGCCTCACAACGGCCTGCGAGGGATCATGCTGCCTTGCCTATTATATGTAGTAATGACCACAGTTTCCACCAACTGGAAGGGGGCCATTTTTCTTTTACCCCATCCTAGACAGCTCTAATCTCAGGGTGCACAGTGACCCTGTAATGCTGCTCAAAGGCTGGGCAAGTTGTGAGCAGATGAGCTCTCTGTTCAGTGGGCCACAAACCATGAAGCTCAACACATGGGCAGTCATGCTGGAAAGGGAGCAGCTCTGATCTTGACATTCCATCCCAGCTCTCAGGATGTAGAAACCCTGGTCAGGTGGAGGGGAGTTTGGGGAGGTGGGGCTTTTCTTGGTTACATCCTAGTGGAAGAGGGGGATAGGGTGGGTGCTGACATCAAATGTCAATATGAGCAATAACCTGGGGACAATATCTCCCAGAGGTATAGCTCAACTTTTGAAAGAAAGGAAAGAAGGAAGGAAAAGGAAGGAAAAGGAAGGATGGAAGGAAGGAAAAAGGAAGGAAGGAAAAAGGAAGGAAGGAAGAAAGGAAGAAAGAAGGAAAGAAAGAAAGGAAGGAAGGAAGGAAGAAGGAAAGAAGGAAGGAGAAAGAAAAAAGAAAAAAGGAAGGAAGAAAAAAGAAAAAAGAAAGGAAGGAAGAAAAAAGAAAAAAGGAAGGAAGAAAGAAAGGAAGGAAGGAAGGAAGGAAAGAAAGAAGGAAGGAAGGAAGAAAGGAAGGAAGGAAAGAAAGAAGAAAAGAAGAAAGAAAGGAAGAAAGTGAAAAAGAAAGAAAGGAAGGAAGGAAAGAAGGAAAGAAAAAGGAAGGATAAAAGGAAGGAAGGAAGGAAAAAGGGAGGAAGGAAGAAAAGAAGGAAGAAAGGAAGGAAGAAAAAAGCAAGGAAGAAAGGAAGGAAGGGAGGAAGGAAAAATGAAGAAAAGAAGGATGAAAGAAAGGAAGGAAGAAAGGAAAAAGGAAGGAAGGAAAGAAGGAAGGAAGGAGGAAGAAAAAAGAAAAAAGAAGGAATAAAGGAAGGAAGGATGGAAGAAAAAAAGAAAGAAAGAAGTTTTCAGTTTGGAATTGGAGGGGAGGGGGCCAAAGGAAGAGACAGAGGTCAGGGGTGGCACAAAGGGATTGTAAGAGCTGAAGAAGAGCAGAACAGGAGACTGCCCTAAAGCCTCTACTCTTCCACCAGAAGACAATGAGCATGCCCAGAATATCACCACTCTGTGGCCTGACATTCTCCCCTTGGTCACACTGCTGGCAAATCTTCAGTTAGAGGTTTTCCAATAAGAAATGCCCAGGGCTAGCTGTGTGCAGGCAAGCAGAAGGTGTGGATGATGACATTTGGCAGGTTACATGCAGCTGGCTACAAGTGTCTAACTTTGAGATAGCTCACACCCACTCACAGACTGACCTCTAACCTTTGCCATATGGTAACCCCTACAGCCCGAGCACACTGACTCTTCAGAGATCTATGTTCTTTTTTTTTTTTTTTGGCCTTTTTGGTGAGGCAATCGGGGTTAAGTGACTTGCCCAGGGTCACACAGCTAGTAAGTGTGAGGCTGGCCAGAGCTTTATCCACTTCTCCACCTAGCTGCCCGCCAGAGATCTATGTTCTAAGGGGGCTTTCAGCTCTACTTTTTTATAAGAGGTTCTTCTGACATCCAGGGAAGCCTGGATCCCCTTTGATTCAGGGATCCCATTTGAGGCATCCCTCTTGCATTCCCCAGGCAGTAATTTGTGTAATGGATCTTTTCTGAATCTACTTCCTTCCCCATCAACCACACCCATCTCTCCCCATTCTCCCAAACCCAATCCAAACTTACCTGATCTATGTCTCTTTCCTTAGGGGCTGGTGGTAGGGCAATTTATCTGAAGAAACCAGTTTACTACTAAATCTGATCAAATGGCTCAGTGCACACCCCATCAGGTTGGCACATTTTCATTTCCAAAGGGGCTTTCAGTAGTTCCCCCCTCCCTTGCTATGAAGAGATAGAGGACTATGGGTATGTCAGATTTTGTTAATGTATAGGTTAGTTTTCTTCACTTTTTTCCCTTTATTGTTTGTTTATGAGGGATGGTTTTCTGGCAAGGGAATAGGAAAGGGAGGGACACCTTGGGAAATGTGGGTAATATTTTTTTTTAAAAGATACAGATAGGGGCAGCTAGGTGGTGCAGTGGATAGCACAGCAGCCCTGGATTCAGGAGGATCTGAGTTCAAATGCAGCCTCAGACACATAACACTTACTAGCTGTGTGACCCTGGGCAGGTCACTTAACCACGATTGCCTCACAAAAAAAAAAAAAAGATACAAATAAAGATTATCAGAAAAGAACAACCTTCGATGCTTTTTTTAAGTACTGGGAACTTAATGATGGCATTTCAGTCACAGGGGTGGAGGCTTCTTAGCAACCCTGAAATTTTATTGCTTAATTGCTCATCAGTTCTATACATAGGTAGGCTCACTCGGTGCCTAATCTTGACCTTCCTGGCCTGGGCTGGATAATGGAAAGTTCCAGACTTACCTGAATGCAAGGGGAGGGCCGGCCGCACTGACTGTGCAAATAGAGAGTGTCCAGGATCCACTCCAGATGGCTCGAATTGGTAGAACTCTGGGTGGTCATCACATAGAACACCAGGATTTGGCTGGGGTCCCTGGGAGCTGAGATAAACCGTTCGAACTCCAGATCTGTGAGTGCGGGGCTTTTCACCAGACATCTGCAGCCAAAGCTAGTGTCCTGTTTGAGCAATAGCTTCCGGAGCATCAGGGGACAGTCAGCTAGAGCGAAAGCCCAAGTGTCGGAGGACCGCCGGTCTGGCGCGCCTGCCGATTTGGACCGCAGGTCTGGCACACCAGTCGCTTTGGACCTATAAGGCAGAAACCCCTCCCACCAGACCCCAGAATGAGAAGGGAGCGATTTGAAATACGCAATCCCAGCTAAAAGGGGAGTGAGGAAGCCCTAGCTTCAATACTGCCTCACACGTTTTCTAGTTGTGGAAACCTGGACACGACATTTAATCTCTCGGAGCCTTAGTTTCCTCGCTGGAAAATTAAAGGGTTAGATTGAAAGGTCTCTAAGGTCTCTTAGAAACCAGCTCTAAATCGATGATTTCTATGATTCTGTAAAGCAAGGGTTCTTAACATGGGGGTTTGCCCCTCCTCACCTCTCTCCTTTGCTAAAGTCCCATTGGAACACCCTATCACATTTTTATCTACTCTGTACTTTGCATTTACCAGGCAGTGACTTAAGAGGGGAAGGAAGAGGGGAGGGAACAGAGAAGAGGGGATAACTGTAATTATCGATTTCCTTTTTAATTCTCCGTATTTTATTTTATGCATTTTAAAAGATGACTCTGATGTCTTCTGAATGTTTTTTGGCTTTACCAGATGGTCAAATAGGGGCATAGCACAAGGTCAACTCCTACCATAAAGGAATCCCATCACAAGTTGAAAAGTAAATGAATGGGGCAGCTAGGTGGCTCACTGGATAGAGCTCCAGCCTTGGAGTCAGAGGACCTGAGTTCAAATCTTGCTTCACACACTTGACACTTACTAGCTGTGTGACCCTGGGCAAGTCGCTTAACCCCTATTGCTTCACCAAAAAGCACAAAAAAAAAATAGATGAATGAAATTCTTCTTAATAGTTTTCCCAGAATCCCAGAATTTCTGAGTTGGAAGGTCAATTAATCTAACCCACACTTGAATGAGAATTGCCTTTATAGTACACCTAATAACCTAAAGCTTTTCCAGCCTTCCCTTCAAGATTTCCAGTGATGAGTAGCTCATTATCTCCCCAAGCAGTTCATTCTGTTTTTTGGATAACCCTAAATTTTAGGATATTTCTCTTTACTTGATGTATCAAGTTGAAATGTATATCTTTGAACCTTCTACACATCATTGCTCCTAATTCTTCCCCTGGGGCCAGTTAGGACAAGACTAGTCCCTTTTCCATATGGGTATCCTTTAAGTATGTAAAAATATTTGAAGTACTGAGGCAGCTAGGTGGGGCTGTAGATAGAGTACTTGCACCTTAAGTCAGGAAGACCTGAGTGCAAATCCAGACCTAGACACTTATTACTTGTGTGACCCTGGGCAAGGCACTTAACTTGTCTGCCTCAGTTTGCTCATTTGTAAATCGGACGTAATAATAGCACCATCTCTCAGGGAAAAGCACTTTGCAAATCATAAAGTGCTATGTAAATGCTAGCTATTATTATTAAAGACAGTTATCATTCCCTCTCCCTCTAAACCCCTCAAGCTTTCCCTTTATTCATTTCCATTTTCTTGAACTGATCCTCATCTGACATGATTTCAAGTCCCTTCAACATCCTGACAACATCCTTCTCTGGACACTCTCCAATTTATCAATAGATAAGTGGATAAATAGAACCAATAATAGAAAGCAAAATTATAAGATGAGGACTTTGTATTATAGATCTTGGTATCTTTCTTAGGTTTTTTACACAGTGGGTGTTCAACAGTTGTTTGTTGAATGGATGGATAGATAAAATGAACTAATCTAAGTGCCAGTAAATGTTTCTGGTCTTACAGAATGATAAGAGCTAAAAGGATGGAGAGATTGACCAACTAGGCAGCCGAGAAGGCTCTCGCAGTAGGAGCAGAGGTTAAAATGAGGCACCAAGCGTGGTCTTTCCAAGACAGAGCTCAATGATATTACCAGCTCTCGAATGGCTCTGGGTGGGTTTCTGGATTTAAACAAGCCTTGAGTCAACACATATGGGTCTTGTGCTCATAGGTCCCAGGGGATTTCAGTAGCAAGTGCATATCTAAACTCACCTATCAGGGACTCTGGGTGGGATTTTGATAGGCTTCTTTTTAGAAATGCCCATGACTGCTGATGAAGTATCATCCTGAAATGAGTCCCCCATGGAAGAATTGTGTAACGCTGAATGAGTGAGGGAAAGTGATTCTGATGCTGACTTCCGAATCCACTGTAGAGAAGATGGTGATTTCTTCTTGAACCGGCTGAGGTCTATTTCATCCTTCACTGGATAGTCTATTGTGAGGAGGCCTGTGAGTAGAGCCCAATATATAATGTTGTGAGTCAAGTCTGACCTCATCTGCCACTGCTTTTCTGCCAAACCCTTTCTTCCACTCCAGCCTGGCTTACTCAGTGTTGATGCAAGGTCCTTCATCCATTACACCTCTGCTCTCGACACTCTCCTCAGCTGAGACAACTCTCTGGTGGCTATCCCACCTCTCTAGTTCCTACCATTCACTTTAAGGCTGAGATAGAGTTCCTTTGTAAATCAAGCCCCACTTCTGCTGGGAGACACTTTGAGGCTATAGAACATGCTATTCTCACCCTCCACTGAGCCCCATCATTCTTTTATTTTAAAATAGTATTTTATTTTTTCTTACTTACATGTCAGGAAAATTTTTAGCATTCATTTTTACAAGATTTTGAGTTCCAAAATTTTCTCCTTCCTTCTCTCCCCTCCCCTTTTCCAAAAATGGTAGGCAATTTGATATAAATTATAAATGTGCTATCTTGTAAAACATTTCCATATTAGTCACAGCTGTGAAAGAAGAAACAGATCAAAAGGGAAAAAAACCCATGAAAAATAATAAGGTGAAAAAAATACTCTTTGATCTGTGTTCAGAGTCCATCAGTTCTTTATATATATGTGGATAGCATTTTCCTTCGTGAGTCCTTTGTACTATTCTTGAGAAGGGCTGAGTCATTCATATTGATCATCACACAATCAATGTTGCTGATACTATGTACAATATTTTCCTGGTTCTGCTCATTTTACTTTTCATCAGTTTAGACAAGCCTTTCCAGGTTTTTCTGAAATCTGCCTGTTCATCATTTCTTATTGCACAATAGTATTCCATTACATTCATATACCACAGCTTGTTCAGCCATTCCCCGAATTGATGGGCATCCCCTCAATTTCCAATATTTTGCCACCATGAAAAGGGCTGCTATAACTATTTTTTTCCACATGTAGGTCCTTTTCCGTTTTTTAGATCTCTTTGGGATACAGACCTAGTAGTGATATTGCTAAATCAAAGGGTATGCACAGTTTGGTTGCCCTTTGGGCATAGTTCTAAATTGTTCTCCAGAATGGTTGGATCAGTTCACAACTCTACCAACAATACATTAGTGTCCAAATTTTCCCTACATCCTCTCCAACATTTATCATTTTCCTTTTTTTGTCATATTAACCAATCAGATAGGTATGAAGTGGTACCTCAGAGTTGTTCTAATTTGCATTTCTCTAATCAAAAGTGATTTGGAACACTTCTTTGTATGCTTGAGTTAGCTTTGATTTCTTCATATAAAAACTGTCTGTTCATATCCTTTGATCATTTATCAATTGGGGAATGGCTTGTATTCTTATAAATTTGATCCAGTTTTCTATATGTTTGAGAAATGAGGCCATTATCAGAAATGAGGCTGTAAAAATGGTTTCCCAGCTTTCTGCTTTCCTTCTAATCTTAACTGCATTGGTTTTGTTTGTGTGAAAGCTTTTTAATTTAATATAATCAAAATTATCTAATTTACATTTTATAATGCTATCTATCTCTTGTTTGGTCATGAACCTGTAAGTAACTTAACTTCTCCTTTAAGAATCTGGATGCTATGCCACTTGGTGCATATATGTTTACTATTGATATTACTTCATTGTCTATGGTACTTTTAGCAAGATGTAGTTTCCTTCCTCATCTCTTTTAATTAGGTCCACTTTTGTTTTTGTTTTGTCTGATATCAAGATTGCTACTCCTGCTTTTTTATTAACTTCAGCTGAAGCATAATCGATTATGCTCCAGCTCCTTACCTTTACTCTGTGTGTCTCTCTCTGCTTCAAGTATTTTTCTTAAAAATAACATATTGTAGGATTCCAGTTTTTGATCCATTCTGCTGTCCGCTTCCATTTTATGGGAGAGTTCATCCCATTCACATTCACAGTTACAATTACTAACTGTGTATTTCCCTCCATCCTGTTTTTCCTCCTGTTTGTCCTCTCTCTCCTTTCACTCTTTCCCTCCCCATGTTTTGCTTCTGTCTACTGCTTCCCCTGGTCTGCCCTCTCTTCTGTCACTCTCTCTCCACCCAGCCCTACCTCTGCCCCCCCCATGCTTTATTTAATCTCCCCCCTCTCCTACTTTCCTGTCCAGTAAGATAGACTTCTATAATCAACTGATTGTGTATATTATGCCATCTTTGAGCCAGTACTGATGAGAGTAAGGTTCAAGCGATGCCCATTGCTCACCCTTCCATCTTTCCCTCCATTGTAATAGATTTTTTGTGCCTCTTCATATGAAATAATTTACCCCATTGTATCTCTCCCTTCCTTCTGCACCCAGTGTGCTCCTCTTTCTTATCCCTTATTTTTTTTATGTCATTCATTCCTTCAGATTCACCTTATACCTGTACCCTCTGTCTACTTATATTCCTTCTAGCTGTACTATTAGTGGTACAATTTTTAAGAATTACAAGTATTGGGGCAGCTAGGTGGTGCAGTGCATAGAGTACCACCCCTGAAGTCAGGAGGACCTGAGTTCAAATCTGGCCTCAGACCAAACACTTGACACTTACTAGCTGTGTGACCCTGGGCAAGTCGCTTAACCCCAACTGCCTAAAAAAATTACAAGTATCATCTTCCCATATAGGGATGTAAGCAGTTCAACTCCATTGAATCCCTTATGTTTTCTTTTCCCTTTTTTTTTTATTTACCTTTTTAGACTTCTCTTGGGTCTTGATATTGGATATCAAATTTTTTGTTCAATTCTAGCCTTTTTCTTATGAAAGCTTGAAGTCCTTCTATTTCATTGAATGACCATTTTTTCCCTTGAAGTATTATGCTTAATTTCATTGGATAGGTGATTTTTGGTTGTAGTCCTAGCTCCTTTGCCTTTTGTAATATCATGTTCCGTGTCCTCTGATCCTTTAATGTTGTAGCTGCTAAGTCTTGGGTAATTCTGATTGTGGCTTCCTGTTATTTGAATTGTTTCTTTCCAGCCACTTGCAGTATATTTTCCTGGACCTGATAGTTCTACAATTTGGATATAATGTTCCTCGGAGTTTTTATTTTGGGATCTCCTTCCTGAGGTGATCAGTGGATTCTTTCATCCTATTTTGCTCTCTGGTTTCAGGATATCAAGGCAGTATTCCTTGCTAATTTCTTGAAGGATGCTGTCCAGGTCCTCCTTTTGATTATGACTTTTCGTAGTCCAATGATTCTGACATTGTCTTTCCTGGATCTAGTTTCTAGGTCAGCTGTTTTTCCAATGAGATATTTTACATTTTCTTCTATTTTTTCATTCTTTTGAATTTGTTTGATTGATTCTTGATTTCTCATAGAGTCATCAGCTTCCACTTGCCCAATTCTAACTTTTAAGGAGTTATTTTCCTCAGTTAGATTTTGTACTTTCTTTTCCATTTGTCCAGTTGTACTTTTTAAGGAGTTATTTTCTTCAGCAGATATTTGTATTTCCTTTTCCATTTGGTCAATTCTGCTTTTTAAGCAGTTGTTTTCTTTTTCCAAGACGTTGACTCTATTTTCATAATTCTCTTATATCACTCTCATTTCTTTCCCCAATTTTTCTTCTATCTCTCTTCTATGATTTTTAAGCTCCTTTTTGAGCTCTTCCATGAGTTCTTTCTGGGCTTGAGATTGCTTCCTATTTTTCTCTGGAGTTTTCCTCATAGGTGTTTTGACATTGTTGTCCTCTTTTGAGTTTGTGTCTTGATCCTCCCTGTTACCATAATAATAATGGTCAACATAATAATGGTCAGATTCTTTTTTGTTGTTGTTGTTGTTTTTTGCTCATCTTTTTTGACCTTCTTCCTTTCTTTTAAATTTGAGCTCTGCTGCTAGGGTAGAAGGGGTACTGTGTCCGACTTCTTGTGCCAGGGGCTGCAGGTCCTGGCTGTTTACTTGGTGCTGTACTGATGTTGCCCTGATGCCCATGAGGGACCCTTGTGTCTGGTGCTGTGCTGAGGGGATGGGGTGGGGAGTGGCTGGCACTGCTGGAGGCTGTAGGGGTCTGGCAGCTGTAGGGATCCTAGTGCTGATGTCTGAGCTGGAAGTTGAGGTCAGTGGTTTTTCTGTGTTTCCCTGGGGCTACACTGAAGCACTCAGATCTGGCCTCTGGAGGCTGCGTGTTTGTCTAGGGCTATGCTGAGGCACATGGCAGGGTGGCATGGGAGTTGCCTGTTTGGTTAGGCATGTAGGGTTGGCATCTACCTTTATCCTGGGGCTATGCTGAAGCACATGGAGGTTTGGCCCCTGGAGGTTGCCTGTTTGCCCAGAGCTGTGCTGAAGCATGTGGTGGTTCTTGTAGCTGGAGTCTATTCATTACCCTGGCTATGCTAAGGCATGTGGCAAAGTCCTGGTATTGGCATTTGCCTGCTCCACCTCACTGGGGCTCAGGATCATCCACTGGTTTGCTGTGGTGGGGCTTGCTGCTGGTTTGCTGGGACACTTCCCATCCTGGCCTGGGCTCCCCTTTTATTCCAGTGAGACAAACCTTTCTTGCTGATCTTCCAAGTTTTTTGGGCTAAAAGACTGTTTCACCCCATCATTTTATTGCTTCTGCTGTTCCAGGAATTGTTTTGGGCCTCTATTTTATGGTTGTTTGGAGGTGAATATGGGAGAGTTACAGCAATTTACTGCTTACTCCACCATCTTGGCTCTGCCCATTCTCCCATCATTTTTTTTTTTAGGCAATTGGGGTTAAGTGACTTGCCCAGGGTCACACAGCTAGTAAGTGTCAAATGTTTGGTCTGAGGCCGGATTTGAACTCAGGTCCTTCTGACCTCAGGGCTGGTGCTGTATCCACTGCACCACCTAGCTGCCCCCCCCCATCATTCTTTAAGCCTAGAAACACTCATTGGTACTAAAGATTATTTTGTCTCATATTATTAGTCCTATTTATATATCCATCCCTTTATGCATTCAGCAAATAACTGTTGATTACCGATGACTGAGGAGGTAAGGTTCCTATATTCAAAAAGTTTCCAGTTTAATGGGAGATGGGTAGGATGGGGCATATATCCAAATAACATAATTTCATAGATGCATGAGAGGTAGCTAGGTGGTACAGTGGATAGAGTGCTAGATTTGGAGTCAGGAAGACCAGAGTTCAAATCCAGCCTCAGACTCTTACTAGCTATGGAAATGCAGGCAATCCACTTAAACCCAGCACCTACCTCACAGGATTGCTGTGAGGATCAAAGGAAATGATGTATGTGAAGTGCTTGGAAAAGCAGAAAGCACTATAAAATGGAAGCTGTTATCTGAAGCTTTGCACAGAGAGGATGTGACTCAATAAATACTTGTTGATAGAGGATTCCAGGAGATTATTCTGATGGGAGAAGGGTGAGGGAGGTCTGCCATAATGTAAAGGCTGATAGGAATCTCCCCACTCTCCTCAGGGGGGATCTAGTAGATTCACTAAGGAATTATATAAGCTATGATTTCTAGTGGAAAGAACTCTAGCTTTGTAGTCAGAGGACCTAGATTCAAATCCTAGCTCTATCACTTCCAACCTGTGTGACTATGTGCCCATTTCCCTCTTGGCATTGTGATTTTGGGCAAGTCACAACCTCTATGGTCTCCAGTCTCTTCATCTGTAAAATGAGGGAGCTGGACCAGATGAACTCAGAAGTCCCTTCCAACCCTACAACTATGGTCCTTCTCCATCTTTAAGTTCTGTCACAATGCCTAGAAGGAAATGGACACATAGCCCCCATTTTTGTGTTGGGAGTGTAGGGATGATAGATGGATAGCAACACAAGCTGTGTTCATGTATGAATGAGCTATCAGGGACTGAATAATTGTCAAAGATGTCTGTGGCAACTTCTCCCTTCCCCTTTCAATAAACCTACCTCCATTTCTATCCTAGAACTCTTAGCACTCCAAGGACTCTAATTCTGTCTCCTCCTCCAAGTACTTATCATGACCTCAACTGGCTACAGACCAATGCTCCTTTCTCTCAATTCTTCTCCAAAAGCCCTCAACAATATAGAGCTAATAACATCTTATAGTATTTCCCTTCTTCTAGGTATATTTCAATTATCATAGGGTACCCTGTGAGACCCCTAAATCTGCCATGATCTAAAGAAAAAAAGTTTTAATTATAGACTCTAAGGCACCAATGAGCACCATGGGAAAGCCCCTTTGATATTTACTTTCATTGTAATTTTGGGCAAGTCATTTCTCATTGAGCTTCATTTTCCTTCTCTATGAAATTGACCAGATGGCATCTGAGGTCCCTTTTAGATTTCGCTCTATGTTTTTATGTGAACCATGTTAGGATGTAAATCTATAGAATATATTTGGAGTCAGGGAAACTCTATCTGCCACCTTCCAACTCATACCATGTAAGCAGCTGTTTAATTTCCTCATTATTAAGGATTACCTGATTGTATGGGGATGTGGAGGGGTCACCCTAGAAGCCTCAGAAGTGATTCTGAATTTAAGAGGCATAGGAACATTTGAGTCAAAACTAGGGATGAACAGGGATGGACTTTTGGGATGGAAAAGCAAGAACTGGTCAACATAGTTAAAAATTGATATGCATTTTACAAATTGCAGAAAACCCACAGGAAAGGGAGTGCTCCAGGCTCAGGAGCACCTGTTAGCCAGGCTTCTTCACCCTTCCTGTCCCCTGATTTTTACCTGCTGACAGCAAAACAGAATTCATAAACTGAGACACTGTCTTCTGAAATCGTTTCTTAATCTCAACCAGTGCTCGGATCATCTTGGATGTCCTTTCTTCAGTGCCGCTTCTATAAGAATACTTGAAAGACCAAGAGGGGGAAATGCAGTCATTATTAGCCAAGAGCAGCATCTCATCCTTACCTGTAGAAAACCTGAGCTGTCTTGTGATGCAGGGAAATTGGAGGCACATTGACAGGGGTTCAGGATAATGAATATATCCTTTTAAAATTGTTTATCTTATTCTGAAAGATTCATCCCACTACCTCTGCTAGCGAGAAGGGACAATAAGCCCCCTTCCTCTAGTGGGCAGGGCTTCTAGCCTGACTGGACTTTCCAGAGGAGAATTTAAATCATATTTAGATCCTAGAGAATATGTTGTATTGGTTAGGGAGCCAACCTTGAAGCTAGGAAGACCTGGGGTTCTAGTCTAGCCTCTGACCCTGGGGAAGTCACTTAATCTCTTGGGGATATTGGCAACCCTTTAATAAGATTGCAGAGAAAGCACTGGTCTCTATTAAGTAGAGGGAGTTTTCTCTCCCAGAAACTCCCTAACCAACGAAATCACAAATGTACTCCCTATCCCTATCTAAACTCTTTGTTGCTAGATTTATGCTTCGACTGGGCTGCAGGATTTTAAAAGAATATTATTCTAAATGCAAATAGCCATTAACAAAAACAAGTGTTGAAATAAACAAATGAAAATAAGGAAGTTTTGTATGTGAGATCATTACTTATGGAGTGTAATGAGTGTATATTGTATTTACTCTAGTAAGACAGTAAGAAAAAATGTGCTCTTTGCTTCCATGTCATCTTCTGAATTCCTTTTCTTCTGTATATGTCTGAAGCTTGTTGCTATCATAGCCACAAATAAATGATTGAATAAAAAGCATTTATTAAATACATACACTGTGTTAAGTATTGGAGATACAAATAGAAAAGTGAGACTTTCTCTACTCTCAACGAGCTCACACACTAATGGGGAAAGAAAACAGTAGGAGGTTTCAGCCAAAAGTCAGATGGAAAGGCCTTATAGTTCTTAGGGTGCAGCAGCAAATCAGTTAAGTGATGTATCTTCTAGTTAATGTTATGCTCCTGGTAAGACCACATCTATTTCTGATGCTGAACCATTTGACAGTACTAAAGACTTGGTGACGAGAACTTGCTTTTCCAGATATTCAATATAGGTTCTGTGAGGCACTGGGGGCTTCAGAACCTGCAGAAGCAATGAACAGGCAGCAACTGCACAAAGAATGCTGCATTGAATGATGACTTCAGTAACTGGGCTGGAAGTAGGGCTGGTGGTCTGAGGAGGCACTTCTATTCCTAGAGCTCTTGGGCTTCTTATTCACTCAATTAATCTAGCATTTATTAAGCACCTTCTATGTGCTAGCATTGTGCTGGGTGCTGGGAATACAAAGACAGAAGTGATACAGTCCCTGTTTTCGAGGAACTTATATTCTATATGTGGGGATAAATGGCTAAATAAATACAGGCTATGTAAAAAAAAATTCACAAAGCATATCTGCCCAGTTGTTGGACATATCAGCTGTTTGCCATTTTTCATTTTTAAATTTCACTTTATTTTGTTTTGTTTTGCTATTATGAATAATGTTGTTATGACTATCTGAGCAGAGAGGGATATCTTTACCCCTTCTCCCTCATAACACTATCAGGACATATTGTCCCAGAAATGAGATATTTGAGTCAAAGGGAATGGACATCTTTTATAGATTTTGAGCTGGAAGGTGCCTCAGAGGTCAATACTCCAACTTCCTTATTTTACAGAAGAGGAAACTGAGGCCAAAGAAGCTGTAAGCTCCTCAAGTGCAGGGACCATTTTGCTTTTGTCTTTATATCCCCAGAATTTGGCACATAGTAGGCCTAAATGCTTGTTGATTACTTGACTGATTTTTCCCCACTGTAGCATACTATCTTTTATTTGCAGGTCTTACTATAAATTGCCATATTGATTCATTTGTAGGACATCTGGTTAATCTCCCTTAGTCCATGGTACTGGATGAAAATGAGGCTAGGTTCCAGAGGCAATCCCTGAAGTCGTGCCATAGTTGCATTCTTCAGTGAATCCCTGACCCTGCTAAATGGGCTAATCTTCTCAGATTCTGCAGAACAATAGCCCCCTTCTGAAAAAAAAGTGACTATGAATTATAGAGTATATCTAAGACCAGGGAGCTGGAAGAATTTAAGGTAACATATAAATATGGAAGTTTCAGTATTTTATAGCACCTAGCATGGGATCTCACATGTAGCAAATATTCAATATTTTCTAAAAGAATAACTCATTGAATCTTAAAATATGTATTGGAAGATGATGGAGACTTTTAATAAAGACTTCCTTATAGATTGACATCAACCCATAGCCATACTCTTTGATACCAGAAATTCAAATAGTTCTCAATCTTCCCTTTGGTATGGCTATCTAGACCACATATTTCCATTTTGTCCACAAGGATAACATGTAAAAATTTGTCAGATACTTCACTGAAATCTACAGAATTCTCCAGATCTTCGTTCCAGGAACCACATAAAAAAGGAGAATGATCTGCACTTAAGGAAGCTATACCGACTTTTTGTGTCCACTGCTTCCTTTCCTAGATGCTCACTATCCAGCCCTTTGATAAGTCATTCTAGAATTTTTTCCAGGATTCAGAGCCAAATTCACTAACCCATAGTTTGCAGAATCTGCTTTCTTCCTTCTTCTTTTTGGAAAACTGGAACACCATCTCATTCTGAGCTCCAGTGCTCCTGACACCTCTTCCAGCAATTTGTCACACTTTTTGCATTCATCTTCCATTTCCTGACCTTGCTTCCATTTTTTATAAATATCTCTTTAAATCCAAGTTGGCTGATGATCACTTTGTGCATCCATATTGGTTTCTTTAAACTTTCCATTTACTTTCTTACAAAAATTATTTCTGTTTGGGTCTTCAGAATTTTCTTCTTCTTAGATTCTGAGATTTCTATCCTTCCTAGGTTGACTTACCCTGCAGAAATTTAGGCTTTGTGAAACTATTTATATTTGCTCTAAATCTTTTGGAGTCTGCTTTTATAAAATCTAAAGTATTTGTCAAACATTTCCTGGCTTTCATTGACATTGTCACAAATTCCAATATGAAGTGCTAACTTCCCCCAATGTGTTAATCATTTCCATTTCAGCAGCCACCTCCCTCTTGTTGGTCAGAATCAAGTCTAGAAGAGCAGTTTTTTTCATCCTTTGCTCTACCTTGTGAATGATGAAATTAGCATAAAGCACCATCATCATTAGCTATTCTACTTTTAACAGAGAATGCTCCAGCAAATGTTCAGAAAATTAAGTCCCCTATCAATACCATATCATGCCTCTGAGCCAGGCTTCTGATATTTACCCAATTGCCCATTTACTTTTTCCTCTCATTCAGATGGTCTGTATTATACAATTATGACAATTATGACTTTCATTTTTCCCTCCGTTGATCTTCACCAAAGTGCTTTCCATCATGTTTTCCCACTCACTATATTTACATTTTGTTTTTCAATAAAGAAGCTCAGTTTTAAAGAAGAAAGGAAAACAAAACACTTGTAATAAATATACATAGCTGAACAAAACAAAGTTCCATATTGTCCAGGTCCAAAAATGTATGTCTCAATCTGTGTCTTGAATCCATTAACCTTCTATTAGGAAGTGGGTAAAAAAACTTATGACCATCAAATCTCTCTGTCTCTCTCTTTCTCTCTCTCTCTCTATCTCTCTCTCTCTCCCTCCTTGTCTTCCATTGGGAAGAAGTAATGAAAATAACACCTGTACCCCTAAAACTTTCAATTTCTTGGCCAAGACTTTATAATCCCTAGCTATGCTTTGCACGGCTCTTCTGACAATATTATTTGTCCCTACACAAACTGCCAGAAGCTCATAGTAGTGATCAGGTTTGTAAAGTCTTGGAAGATTCATCATGTCTCACAATATGCCCTCATTAGGCCACAGATGTCTATATTATTAATTCCAGGTTGAAAAATAGCTGCTTTGATATTGCTCAGCAGAAAGTTTCCAACCAATGAAGTCACTTATTTCATTGTTCTTTGATGCTTCATTATGTCATCCCTCTCTTCATGGCACCTGTGGGTCTACATTATTGCTCTTTGGAGCAGAAACTGCTCCTTAAACTTCAGAGGCACCAACTACCCCTTCATGAGACAAAACATAACTTGTTTGAAGCCATGGGTTCTTGACTCTCATTCTGTGTTTGATCTACCACGCCACACAGCTTCAATAAAGGAAGGAGCAAGAAAACACACATGGAACCTTGGAGTTGGAAGAGACTTCAGGGATTATGCACTCCAATCCAGTCCTGAATAAGAACCCCACCCCCACAACGTTCCTAAAAAATAGTTAGGCAACCTCCCTTTGAAGAATCTGGAGGAAGTAAGAATAAATAACTCTCAGAAAGGGGAGGGGAGGGGCAGCTAGGTGGTGCAGTGGATAGAGCACTGGCCCTGAAGTCAGGAGGACCTGAGTTCAAATCCGGCCTCAGACCAAACGCTTGACACTTACTAGCTGTGTGATGCTGGGCAAGTCACTTAACCTCAATTGCCTTAAAAAAAAGAAAGGGGAGGGGAGAGGGAAGTCTACACCAAATAGCCTGGAAATACCCTCATCAAACAATAATATAGAATCATAGAACCTTATTGTTGGGGGGTCTTTACATGTCATCACATCCAAGATCCCCTAATGGTTACAATGTGGATAAAACATTATCTATTAGAGAATATGCCCCTTCAGTTAGGCATGAGAGTCTTCTCTGATTAAACAAAATCTTCCTAAATGCAAGAAAACTGGAAGCTCTGAAATAAGAGGTACTGTTAGAACTGCAATCCATCCCACAATCGAAAGGATGTACCAATTAATAGGAAAAAAACTGAAAAATCCATCAATAGGACAGCCCATAGTGCCTGTCTTTTGGGCCAATAAAACATTTAAATTGACGAGCTGCCTACTTTCCAAAGCACAGCTGCATATAAATATTTAGTGGAAAACCAGGCTATGGGACCCTTAAAAGCTGTGCTTGCTTTGAAGGCAGTTTTCGCTGTTGCTCCAACTGGGTTGGTCTTCACTGTGCTATGGGTGCCTGGGGAGGCCATTTAATAAGGTTCCTTGTGACAGAGTTTTTAAAGGGGAAGAAAGGAGGGGGAAACTCATTGTTCATCTGCTTCCTTTTCAAGAAATATTTGCTTTTGCTGGCAAGTCATAAACCCCAGTCTGAGGATTGGAAAACAGACGAGCAAAGGAAGAAGAGTTGGATTCCTTGAGTTGGACACAGTGATGAGAAATCCAAAGCCAGTATACCAAGTACTTTTCTTTTTGAATATATTTATCATGCCAACTTTTAAACTAATTTGTTTATGTGGAAACAGCCAGATATAAAATTATGGAGTAGGTAAAGTTTTTCTTAAGAGTATCACAATTTCTCATACTACCTTCTATTCCCTTTCTATCATATCTCCCCTTTCTGTTACTGGATTTGGTGTCATAGGTCCAGGATTCAAATCTTAGTTCTGCCACTTATAATGTGACCCCTAACGGGTCACTTGACCTCTCTGGGGCCTCAGTTTTCTCATCTGTAAAATAATCATTTTGAACAAGATGGCACCTGAAGTGGTTGCCATTTTTAAATTTATTATCCTATAATTTGATGTGACTTTAATCACTTCATATCCTTTGGCTTTAGGATCTATAAAGCCAGGGATTTGGACTAGATAATTTATAATTTGCATTTCCCACCTATAATTAAATTAAATCAAATTAAATTTAGCTAGTATTTATCAAGTACCTACTATGTATAAGGCACTGTGCTAAAGTTAGAAATGCCAAATAAAAAGTTCTCAAGGAATTGATAGTCTACTGGTTGAGTAGGGGCTATGACAATATAGATATAGGTAAATAAATACAAGGGGTCCCAAAAGTTTTAGGGCAGTTGTAAATTTTAGTACTTAAAACTGTACTAAGCTACCTGGGACACCCTGGACAAAATAACATGAGGAAGAAGAAAAACACCAATAGCTAGGGGAATTCTCATAGGAGGTGGCACCTTAACTGAGTGTTAAAGGCCAATAATTCTAAGAGGCCGAAGTGAGGAGGGAGTACATTCCAAGAATGGGTGACAGCTGATAGAAAGGCAAGAGATAGAATGCCTAGTTCAGAGAACAGCAAGTAAAGCACTTTGGATAGAACACAGAATACTTGAAGAGCATGTCAATAATCCTGGAGAGGTAGGTTGGAGACGGCCCATGAGGGAATTTAAATACCAAGCTGAGAAATTTGTATTTTATTCTAGGATCAATAGAGTCACTGAATATTCTTAAGCAAGGAATGACATGGTCAGATCTGTACTTTAGGAAGATTATTTTGTCAAATTGAATTGGAGAGAGGAGAGACCAGAAGCGTAGGGAAATCAATTAGGAGGCTACTGTAGTAGTCTAGGTAAGGAGTGATGAGGGCCTGAACTAAGTTGATAGCTGGAGAGAATGGAGATAGATGTGAGAGATGTTGTAGAGAAAGAATGGAAATGGCATGGAATTGGCCACTGATTGGGGTATGTGAGTGAGAGCAAAATCAAGGATGCTACTCTTCTAAGATTACAAAGCAGAGTGAATGAAAGGATGGTAATTCCAGAAACAGACAAAAGTACAATGTCTGGCACATAGAATGCATTTAATATGTTTGTTGAACTTAATTGAATTAAATTTTGCAAGAGGGATAGATTTGGTGAGGGGAGGGAGATAGGATGAGTTCTGTTTTGGATGTGCTGAGTTTGATATGCTGATGGAGCTGTCCACCAGGAACCTGGTGCTGAAATTCTATGAGTCTCACCACTTCTACTCGATGTTATGACATTCTGTTGGCCTGTGGTAACTTCGAGTCTCTCACTATGGCACCTACCTAAGCTGTCCTCTTAGTCTTATATTCCAGACATTTCTTTTCATTTTTGTCCTACCTATGTCTCATTTCTTCTCAGTCACAGTCTCTGCTAACTGACAATGGGTGGTAATAGGTAAAGCTGACAAACTGATCATGACTTTGGGTCTAATACTTATATTTATACTGAGCAGCCTCAAAATTTAAAGATGAAAGAACAGGTTCAAAGAGGATGACTGACTTGCCTGTAATCAAATACGTTGGATTCAGAGGTAGGATTTGAACTCAGGTCCTCTGGCTCTAGATTCAATGTTTATTATTAGTCACTTAACTTTTCTGAGCCTAGGTTTTCTCATTTGTAAAATGGGGATAAACAATACCTATAGTTCTTGTATTTTAGACTTAAAGGAGTTAATGCTTATAAAACATTTTATAAACCTTTAACATGTTATAGAAATGCCAGTTATTACTATTACTATAATTAGAAATACTGTCTTCCATACCACAGCATGCTATGGCAAAAATAATGATGTCATAAGAATAATGACTCTTGTGTTAATGGTACTACACTGACAAAAGTTTTCTGAATTTGACCAGATTGGGAACTTACGACAGGCAAACCTAGCCTTTGTCTTGGTTATATTTTGAGAATTTCATTTTTCAGTCCAAAAGGAAATAAAGCAGCATTTCTTTTCATTCCATAAAGAGTTGTCTCAATCTCCCCCATCTCCAAATTCCAAATGTGCTTAGTCTGTATCACACACTGGACACTTGACTTGTGATATCCTATGGCTATTTTATGCACATGTATTTTCTCTACCCCTTCATCTTGTAAGTGTTTTGAGATCAAAGGCTATACCTTTCTTAATCCACCCAATCTAGCACCATGCTAGGCACCCAGTAGATACCTGAGGAATATTTGTTGAATTTATTGGAACTTAATCAATTTGAAGTCTTAATTTTTGTTTCAGTCCCAGTTAGTCTCTTTTAGGGCCAGAACTTTTACAAAGCAATCTTATTAGGAGGTAATGGACTTGAACAAGTCCCTTATCACTGCAGCAACTGGTGGCTAGACACAGAATCAAGGAATTAGTAGGGGAGAAAGAGAGTGCTTCTGTCAGCTGATACTAAAAAAAAAAGAGTTCAGGCTCATAGATACATAGATACAAGCAATGGAACCCTATATCCATATAATCTTCAAGGGAAAATTGACAGGAGTACCCCAACTCACTATGATTCAGCCCTTTTGGCCACATTATCCTTTTTTTTTTTATACTTCTCTTTTCCTTCAAGACTGCCCTTTAAATTCAGCTTAATCAGATTTCACCCAGATAAACTTGCTGGGATACCAGCATAGAGGATGATTTATGCCAGGGCTGTATGGATGTCACTGGGCCCATATCTAGGCATAGAGGGGGAATATAGCTTAATGATCTCAGTGTGGTCCTTGGTAATCCCTTGGAAAGTTGGGTTTAACTTGGCCAACTATGTGCTAGGGTCATCATAATGATCAATAAAATTGGAGACAAGGGTAATTGTTACCATCTTGTATGACCTTGAGTAATTCACTTCTCTTTTCTGGCCCTTACTTTGCCTTCTCTGTCAAAAGGCAGGGTATCAGACTAGATGAGCTCTAAGGTTCCTTCTTAGTTGCAATCTTATGATCTTACCCGCTTCTCAGGGGGCGCTCCATGTGGACAATCTGTGGGTGAAATGACTAGAGTCACATTCTCATTCAGGGCACTGAAGGTGATGCTTATGGAATCTTGATTGTGTATCTTCAGTTTAATTTGTTCATTCATCTACAGAAAAATGGGGAAGGTGTTATTGCCCTAATCATCCCTGGTTGTCCTTTCCTGACCATAAAGTGAAATTTGTTGAAGGTCCGTTGTTCTGCTCTGTATGAGTTAAAAGGCAAATGCACAAATTTGTCTCATGATATATATCTACAAATGACTCCTGCCCAGCTTCAGAGAAACTTTTGAGCCCTAGAGAACCAGTAAAGAAATGCTCCTCCCCTACACACACACACACACACACACATACACACACACACACCAGGAAATAGTTCTACTATCTTTCTTCTGATTTTTAGTCACCAAAATGAAGTCCTGAAAGTCTCATCATCTTTCAGATCTCTTCTAACTGGGATCCTTGTAATGTAAGACAAGGCAGTCTCTGGTTTCTTGCCATATGAGTGGTAGGGACAAGAAGTTCAATGAGTTCAGTAGTGACAAAGACAGATCACTGTGGACTGGGAAGGCTTCCTGGAAGAAATGGGACTGAATATATGCCTTAAAGGCTGGATAGGTAAGGATGGGCCATCCAGAGATGAGAGGGCATTCAGAATGGGAAGAGGAGCATGGGCAAAGTTGTGAAGATGAGAAAGTATGATATTTCATGGAACAATATATAAACCACCTGAAGTTGTTAGGCAGAATGGTAGGATGAAAGTAATATTCAAGGATGATAATTACTAAGGTCCCTTACAACTCTGAGAAGCAATGCATGGTAGGGGCTTGTGGGAGGGGCTAAATGGTGGTGTAAAATTAGGAAATTTGAAAGTAGGAGGCCAGTTAGGAAGATTTCTTTTCAGTAAACTCTAATAGTACTTGTTTTCTAGATCTCTCTTTCTGGCCTTAAACTATATACTGAATTGCTATGTTATTGTTATTTTTCTTCTTCGTGGGTAGATAAGCTCCTTGAAATTAGAGACTATGCCTTATTCATCATGGTATCCTCTATGGGTCCTAGAACAGGATTGGGCACACAATAGGTACTTAACAAATGAATGAAATCTCTGATGGGGCCCAGGCTGCTTGCAAAAACATTCTTCTCTGAATTAAGTTCTAATGGGTCTTGGGGAGTTACAGACACTCTTCCTCCATTGAAGGAATGAATAAAACTCTAGTGGATCCCAGGGCAATCTCAGAAAGATATAATTCTCCTTCATAATGTATGGGAAAAGCTACATAGTCCTGACCATTAATACATACTTGCACTCTATGAATTGGCGGTATTGTCTCCTACCTTATACTCTAATGATGTCAAGGTTCGCTTCTTGGAGGTCCAACTCCATTTGTGAACTGTATGTCCCGTAGTGTCTTTTATACACCCTCCCTCATGATTCATCATAAATAGACATGGATAGCTGAGAGAAAACACAGAAGGATGAGCTGAGGGAAGTGAGGGTATATCTTCTGATGGGACTTCCTTTCATGAGTTCTAGGGAAAAGGGGAGAGAGGGAGGTTGTTTCCTCTTTCCCTAAGCTACATATAGGGAGGTAGAGGCAAAGAAGGACAAGTACCAGGGCTAAAAGCCATGGAAGATGTTTATCCTAATGGATTTTACTGTAACAAGTGGCATTTTTCTTGGTTGTCTCAGCCCCTCAGGATCTCCCAAGGGTGATCCAGAGAGGGGAAGAGGGTGTGTCAGATTCCAGGACATGTTTACCATATATCATCACCATCTTCCTTTGATACTCTCCTATGACATAGAACAGTCCTTGATGATAGAAATGTCCCAGAATCTGTTTTCTCTTGTTACTCTCTCTAAATCACCTGAACTCTGGAGAGATTCAAGAGACAAGAAAGCAACATCCACTCCCTACCTCTCCCACCCATACACACAATATACTATATTGGGGCTCAGAGCAGAGCCTTGAATCCACAGGCTTCCTTGTATTACAGTCCCATACTGAAAGAAATAAAAATCATCAGGGAAACAAGGCAAGAGACACTCCCCAACTCCTCAAGCAGATTTGTATGTCTTACATCCTATTTCTGCTGCTTTGAAAAAAAATGCCTGGGAGAGGTCCTTTGGGCTATAGCAGATAGACTATGAAAGTGGAAAAGCACTTCATTTTCAAAGCTTGACTCTGTGTAGTGGTAAGGGTAGGATCAAATAGAGTGAGAGGCTCCAAACTTCACTGTAAGTTGACCCACCCTTCAAGGAATATAAAGTGTCATGGGAGCCCAGATTTAGAGCTGAAAGGGGCTTCAAAGATCATCTCATCCAATAATGTCTAACTCAAATAGAAACAAATCTCTGCAAACCACACATTGACTTGTTCAGTCATTTCAGTCATGCCCGACTCTTTGTGACCCCATTTGGAGTTTTCTTGATAAAGATACTAGAATGGTTTGCCATTTCCTTCTCCAGCTTATTTTATCAGTTGAGTAAACTGAGTCAAACAGGGTTAAGTGACTTGCCCAGGGTCACACAGCTAGTGTCAAGTGTGTGAAGCCAGATTTGAACTCAGGCCCTCCCAACTCCAAGGCTGAAGCTCTATCCACTGTACCACCTAGCTGCCCCAATAAATGTTTTTTTCCCTTGATTTTTGTTTTCATTCAGATTTTACATCATCAGTATCACTGTTTCTAATAATAAACTCACTGGTTCTTGAGGTTATATTGCACACTTCCATGGCCTTCAGCAGTAAACAGACCCATGATGGGGAAGTTTGGTGTATCATTGAAAATGCAGGTTGTGTATCTTCCCTTGCAGCATGTAGGAATCTGACACACAGCAATATGTCCTGAAGGATAGCTGATGGGGACAGTCAAGTCAGATAAAGAGAAATTTCTCAGGTCTCTTGATGGGACCCAGTAAGCTACAGAAAAAAGCATGCTAGATCTGGAGCCAAAAGATTTAGATTCAAATCCCAGTTCTACCACTTATTAGCTATATGACCTTGGGCAAGTAATTAAATCTCTTCAGACCTCAGTTTCCTTATCTATAAACCAAGGAGGGTGGGTAAGATTATGTGAAGGATCTGAGAATGATTTGCCTAAGAAAGACAAGACTCAGGTCTTCCAGGTCTTGATGTTATGTTTAACACACTGACCTTGGGTGCCACCCTTATTGGGTGCTCCTTATTTTCTTAATCTTATTTTTATTGCTCTTTTGCTTTTACATTGCCTTCACTTTTTACACACTCTCCCCCCCAACTGCCCCAATGCCTCACAGCCATCCATTATAACAAAGATTTCAAAAGAAGGGGGAAAACAATTCAAAGAAACCAATCAATCAGAAAAACTAATCTCAACTGGATCTGACAGCATTTACAATATTCCATACTCATAGTTTCCCACCATTGCAAAAGGGGGAGGAAGAATGTACCTTTTTTTTTCATTCTTTCCCTGCTTCTTGGACACCTTCTTCTGATGAACCTGTAGGAGCTCCCCATATTACCTTAGATGCTTTCTAGCGTGAGAGATTCAACAGGATTGACCTTGGAGAACTTTCCCTTCCACTGTGATCTATCTATGTTCCTTTCCATAAGCAAAAATGGCTTTATACATAGGAGGAATAGCAAACTACCTTCATAGCATGATGGCAGGAAAGGCACCTTATGGTCTGCTATGTTCCCCTTCACTTGTCCAGTCTAGTCATGTTTCACTTTATTCCCTACTCTTCTCATCCACAGTCACCTTCTGCCTTGCTACACATACCATCCTTCCATTTCCCTCTTCTTTCCTCTTTCCAGTTATAGAGCCATAATTCAAACCAAGCCAGCCAAAAGGTGTGTCCATGTATGCCACTCCAATAACTTTCCAAATCAAGATAACCCCTCCTCTATCACCATTGTCTACTTCAATTAAAATGTAAGCTCCTCGAGGGCAGGCACTTTCAGGCCAGAGTGCTTGGCACTTAGTAAGTACTTAATAAATGTGTTATATTCATTCATTCATTTGGAATAATAATCCTTCAAATACTTGGAGACCCCTCTCAGACATCACTTAACTTTTTCTCCAGAATTGTTTTCCATCAATCCTCTTACACCAGGCCTTTAGCTTGAGGCTTTGATCTCTGTTCAAATAATAACTTCCATTCATATGGCACTTTAACATTTTCATACCACTTTACATTCATGATGTCATTCTGAGCTTCAGAGCAAGTGGGGCAGGTAGGTACTAGAGATATTATTGCTTCCACTTTACTGATGAGATTACTAAGGCTTAGAGAGGTCAAGTGACTCGCCCAGGGTTACACAGATACTAAGCATCAGAAACAGGAGACACACTTCTTCCTGTCTCCCAGTCCTGGACTTTGTCCTCACACCATGACTGTGAACATCCCTTGAAAAGGGGCAGGAGGAGGATTTCTCTAAGTTCATAGGATCACATGTTTAGAACTGGAATGGAATTTGTAGATAATCTAGTCTAACCATCTCATTTTCTGGATGAAGAAACTGAAGCCCTGGGACATGCTCAAGGTCATACAAGTATTTAGTAGCAGAAGGAGGATTGGAACTCACTTTCCCAGACTCTGAATCCAGTGCTCTTGACATTTCTGAGTGAATGAAGGATCTGAACTTGAAGCAGTAGAGAGAGAAGAGAAACCTAGATGGTAGGAACATGCCGTAGAGCACTGACAAACTTTGTAGTCACCATTTTGCTGAGGTGGGGCACTTGCCCCTGAATATTATACCTACGTAAGGAGTCAGTGGTTTACAGAAACTAGGGCTAATACCTTCCAACCCTAACATAACATTTGACTTCATGGCCTTCCTCCCAGGTCCATTGTATCATTGTCACCTGAAATGATTCTGGTGTCCAACTGTTGATGATGCTGATGGCGCTCTTTGGGAGCTAAGACAGATAAGTGTCACCCAAATATTTCCACCCACCTAAAGAAAGATCTGCTGCTGGAAATGCATGGAAGAGTGTTTTGGCCAGCCCAGTGCAAACTCAAAAAATAAATTGTAGCTACAGAACTGAGAGGGACCTTAGAGATGATTTAGCTCCAACTCCTTCATTTTATAGAGGAGGAAACAGAAGAGATTAAATAACTTTCCTAAGGCCAGAGTCAGGATTTGAACCCAAATCTTCTGACTCTAACTCTAGCACTCTCTCAGAATGTTAAAGGGGAGGAATCATAGAGATCATTTAGCCCAACTCTTTCGTTTTACAGAAAAGGAAACCTAGTCTCAGAGAGGTTCAGTGATTTGCCCAAGGTCATACAGAGAATGAATAACCCAGCCAGGATCAGAAGAATCCAGGTCTTAGATTCCCATCATATAAATCTAGTCACCATTAGTAGAACTTTAATTAGCAATTTTCAGGCCTAAAATATACTCTCAAGTCAATTTTTGAAGCCAGCTTTGATGGGAGTAGGTGGCTAGGAGGATAAATGGATAGAGCACAGGGTTTGGATTTGGGAAGACCCAAGTTCAAATCCAGCCTCAGACATATACTAGCTGTGTGACTCTGGGCAAATTACTTACCCTTTTTGCCTCAGTTTTCTCATCCGTAAAATGAGCTGGACACAGAAATGGCAAACTACTCTAGTATGTTTGCTAAGAAAACCCCATATAGGGTCAGACATTTGGACATGACTGAAAAATGACTGAAATTGATGGAGTAGTGGAGAGAAACTTCTGGACACTTCTCTGTGGTTGTGACATAGGGATAGGGGTGGACAGAAGCTCCAGGACACTATGAAATCACCCTTAGGAAGGCCCTAGAGGATAGAGGGATATGAGGGTGGGTCAAGCAAGAGCTTTCATCTGGGGTAAGGGAATGGGAAATCCCATATTGTAGCTTCCTATTTTTTTTAAGTATTGATATCTTGTGTTTTAATATCACCTTCATATATAGATAAATCCTTTCCTATCTATCCAAGGAGCCCTTTCTTGCAACAAAGAATAAAAAAGAGGAAAAAAAATCAGTTCTACAAAACTAACCAACACATCAACTGAGTCTGATAACATATGCAATGTTAACTCCCATAGTTCTTTAACTGTGTAAGGAGAGTTGCCTTTTTTCATTTCTTTTCAGGGGTCAAGCTTGATCATTATAATTATATAAGTAGCTTAACCAATTAGTCCTGCTAACTAGGTGCTAATTAGATGCTAAGCTCAGCTCTTTCTTGGGCTGCCACAGGGATCCTTAAAGAAAGGCAGAGCTCATGCTATTCACCTCTGGGCTGAGAGGTGGTGGACTAATATGTAGAATGAGACACATTTTGGGGCATGTCCAATAGGGAATTCATTTTGCTTGACTATGCATATTTGTTATAAAGGTTTTTTTTCTTTTTTTCCCCATGAGTGGGAGAAAGAAAATGCTTGATAACTGAAAAAAATTTAATTAAAATAGAAGGCAAATTCCTCTAGTGCTACCACCCTCCCAACTGATGACTTTTGACCATCAAGATGGGCTCACCATTGAGATGACAGGATACTAGCCTGTGCACAACTAGTCACAACCAATGCAAAGCTTGGGTCTTACTTGGCAAACCAGCAAGTTTTTTGTGGTCTCAGTATGGGTGGGAGTGGTGGGGCCAAGAGCCAGGTAGATAATCCTGCTAGCAAACAAAGACTTTTGATGGGGTGGAATACTGTGCTTACATTATAAATATTTCATCACCCTCTCCTGGCTAGCTTATATGAACCTAATTCATGGACATCTTCATGGGGCACCAGGGCAGTTGATCCTATTAAATTCAGTGAAGAGCTGGAAAAGGATAATGCAGGCAGGGGGGAAAAACCCACTTGAATGAGCCCTCTGTGTTTAATATACTACTATACATTTGGAAGCTGAGGCTGAATAAAGTGTGATGAATGGATTCATTTAGGCTAGAGAAATAATGTGACATCTTTGACTAGGAGTTTAAATTCTGAATTCCCAGTTCGGCTAAAAGGCCAAATTGAGCTTGAGTTCCTGAAGCAGCCTGGGAGGATGCCTGCCTGTGTCCTCTAGCCCCTTAGGAAGGTTGCTAAGCCAACTCAGACAATTTTTTTTTTTATTTCTCCAGGGCCGGAGGCCTCTGAGCAGGAAGAGGAATTATTCAAATTGATCCCCTGATGCTTTTACCAAAAAAAAAAAAAGGAAGAAGAAAGAAACAATCAAAAATGGCATCATTCAGCTATCCCTGGGAAGGGTAGTTGGCTGGAGGGGAAAGGGCACTAGCCTGGGATGGAGGGCTAGACCTGGGTGTCTGACTTTGGGTAAGTCACTTTCCTGGGCCCCAGTTTCCTCTGTCAAATAAGAGGGTTGGGCAAAGTGATCTCTAAGGTCTCACCCAGCTGTGACATTCAAGGATTAATCCATAATGCATAGGTGTGATAGGGGTGATGGTGGGGGGGAGCTGATCTGTTGGATTAGTTTACCTCCAACAGAGCTGGGCATGCACTTTCTGTGGGCTGTGCACTCTGGTCCCTTGCTGAGCGCCTGCACTTTTTTCTGGGATAACAAAGCAGCTTCTAATAGGTCACCAAGAATCCCCAGGGCTACACTTCTAAGACCTCAAGCCAAATACCAAAGTCAATGGAGTCTGTCTTTGCCTTGGAACCCCCATCACTGAGGTGCCCAGTATCTTCAAGTCACCTTTGAGACCAGAGTTCAAATCTGGACTCAGGCACTTTATAGTTGTGTGTGTGACCTTGTACAAGTCACTTAATCACTATTTGCCTCAGTTTCCTCAACTGTAAAATGAGGATAACAACAGCATCTACCTCACAGTATTGAGAAGATCAAAGGAGATATTTGCAAAATGCTTAGCACAATGCCTAACACATAGTAGGTGATTGACAAATTTATCCTTCCTTTCCTTTCCTTCTTCCCTTCCCTTCTTCCTTTTCCTTCTTCCTTCCTTCCTTCCTTCCTTCCTTCCTTCCTTCCTTCCTTCCTT